CATCCTACCTCGCCATCCCCGCGCGAGCACCCGCGAATCCCCAGGGCCAGGCAGACAACCGCGGATTGCTGTCTTGGCCGGTTCCAACTCCGCGTAAGTCCATGGTGCTGGACGCCGGCGAGCCAGAGCCAACGCGGCAAAACCTTGGAGTTCGGCGGGAGAGGCCTGGGGAGCTGAGCTCTCAAATCCCTTGCCTTCTCCTCCCCCTTAATCCGAGACTATGCTCCCACACACACTCTCACAGAGGCACACGCACTTTCCTCCCCTTGCTTAGCAGCAGCCCACGGCTCCTCCCCTCTCCAACAGCGCGGGGCGCAAGCTCCGAGGCGCCTCCCGGCTGCCCAAAGGGCTCAGCGCGGCTGTGGGCTGCGCTCCTCCAGCCGCCTTCGCTGCGCCTGCTGCTGCTTCTGAACTGCTTCGGGAAGCCTCGGATTTGCCGGTCTGAACCAAGGAGTGGTAGAGGGTGGGGACAGGCAGGAGGAGGAGCCTGGAGCGAAGGGCGCCCGCAGCGCCTCCGGCGCGGGCCAGACGCTGCTGCAGTTCGACCACCACCAGGGTCTCGACGCGACCGCTATCCCGCCTGCCAGGGCTGGAGAAGCGGCTCCCTGAGCGCCGGTGAGGGTGGGGTCGGTATAAAGAGCAGGTGCGGAGCTGTGGCCGCCCGCGCTTTAAGAGGCTCGCGCGCGCCACCATGTGACCGAAGGCTCTCCATCCCTTGCCACGCTGGGGTGGGGTTATCACCAGGCTGGTGTCACCAGGCAGGGGAAGTGGCTGCCTACCAAAATGAGAAGTGCTTCATAATTGCGGGGACTGAGGAAAAAAGATGACCTAAAAAGACTTGAGGAATACCCGGACTTGTGCACTTTGGAGAATGGGAGCGAGGTAAATACAAAAACCAAAGGAGAAGAAAGAAAGAAAATCTTAATGCTGTGAAAAGGAGAGTAGAGACTTCAGAGCTCTGCTCTGTAGGGACCGCCTACAGCCACTACCAATCCTTGTCTTTCCTAAAACTCCAGTACATTGTAAGGAGGCTTTCGGGGGAAATCCTGAATCTTTTAAATTTTTATTTGAATCATATCAGAGCCTTTCAGAGAAAATAAAATGCCTCGTCTGCTGCTTTCTGAGGTCTGGGTTTTAAGGTCAGCAGTCACCTGCCCTTACAGCAAAGCAAGACTCCCTTCTGCAAGCTGAAATGCCAGCCAAGGAGATTTTCATTTTCTTCTGTGCCCCAGGGTGCCTTGCAACACTGGGTCACCTCTTTATGATGATAATGTGTGGAAGGGGATCTGAGGCTCTAGGTTTTAACTCTGGGCTACTCTCTGGTGAAGTGGCTTGGCATCAACTCTGAGCTAAAAACATGCTTTTTTGCCTAAAAAAGTGTATGCACTTGGCCCTTGCATGGTGACAAGGTTAGAAAACTACAGAGTTGTAAAGACCTCACACATGCACACTTCAGTTAACCAGGATACTGAGGGAATGACCTACATCTTTCAGGCACAGGACCTAAATCAGAGTCCCTCCACCAGCTAGTCAATGTGTACCCCTGATAAAGCTGCCACCTCGTCAAAGATGACCAGTTAAGGAATGAGACCTGGCTTTCTTGGAAGCAAGGAAAGGTGGTACTGCTGCCTCTGACTAGGATGGCTTTAACACTGCGCTCACCTTCACTAAACTTTACAGAGTCTTCTACCTAACTGTGGGCCCTGCACCTCCCTTTTCTCAGAGCATTTATTTTAGCAAACTTTCAACTATAAATTCTGTCTCTGACCAGCACATTAAGACCTAACTCTTCTCCCCACCTCTTGTCAGTTTTACAGCCCAAGAATGGCTTTCTCGGTGTCTTACTTTTCTTTCATTGCTGAGACAAAATACCCAACATTCGAAGTTAAGGGTGAATACCGAATAGTTTCTCTGGTGTTAATAAACTATAATAGTACATAAGATCCTAATGAGATAATTGAAAATGTGAAATAGGGAGAAAAGGGCTGAAGGTGTAGGGAAACTGGGAAGTGTAGGAGAAGGTAATAAGGGAAAGAAAAAAATAGGAGAAAATGAAAAAATGGAAATAAAATGTTTGTAAATGGGGAGGGGAGGAGGGGGTGAAGGAAGGGCAGGGACAAGGGGAAAAAATGAGAACCAAGACCTGTCATGTAAAGGTACAAGATCCCAAAGATGAATGTAACTGTACTGTATAGCTAAAATGCACCAATAAACTTGGGGGGGGGGACAAAGTTAAAGGGCGAAAGGTTTATTTGGCTTACAGTTTGTAGAAGTTTCAGTCCATAATTGGCTGGCTCCAAGGCAGGGTGGTACAGGGACAACAGTTTGTGGCAGACAGACAGTAGCAAAGCAACAAGAGATTTTAACAGCATCTTTCATCACCTTTTATCCCATCCACACACTCTTAATCCCAGCACCACACACTCTATTACAGCCCCACCTTACGACTACATGAGGCTTTGAGGGGACATCTAGACACAAGCCACCACAGTCAGGGTCAGGGACAAGGGAGACATCCCTTTGGAATGTAATTATCAAGAAAGATTGTACCCTATCTCCCAGTCTTGGGGAGGGCAGGGGCCTAATTTCAACAAGTTCCCTTTAGCACTTACTGATGACCTCATTCCCTTGCCCAGGCTCCCATCCCAGCATCCCCCAGTGCTTTTCCATTAGCTCCTCAGGGCTCAACAACTCCACCTTTCGGGGGTCAGAGGAGTTGATCAGACTCTGCCTCCCCCATTGCAATGATCTTGCATATAGTCTTCCTGGCCTGTTTATGACTGGTGCTATTTTTCTTGGACACCTCCTTTTCTCTCAGGCCCACAGAAGGCTCTTCTCAATACAGTCCCTAACACCAGTTTTGGCACAAAAAGGGAAAACTCAAGTAATAAAAATATTAATCTTATCTACTGCTTTTCGTTCTTGTTTTCAAACAAATCATCTAATTATACTGGCCCTCAGGCAGCAAATCCAACGAAGTCCATGAAATGCTTTATCCGGGTACCCTACAAAACTCAACACTTTTATTACTGATGGTATGTCCGGGCTTTCCCTTGTCTCCAGATGGGAGCCACCCTCCTAATTAACCTTCCTCACAGGCTAACAAGGAGTCCTGTTCTAAAATGACACAGCCAGAATGCTTCTCTGCTAACTCCCTCCAGATCACTTAACACCTACTAAGATATTAGAAGACAAACAGATGGCTGAGAGGAGGAATTGGACTTGTGTTGGGAGGACAAGGAAGAAGGGAACCAAAGAAAAGTTTCTCCACAAATTTATACACACTAGCAACTCCACACTATTGGGCTAGATTACCCTGATAAAGTTTTAATGTTTCTAATTCTGGTCATTTGCTTGGGATAATTATTGAATGAATAATATTGCTTTGTGTTGCTAAGGTCTTGTGTGGTGTCAGAAACATCACTAAAAGAAGCCATATGTTTTCTTTCACATTACTGCCATTCTGCGCTGGCATGATGTCATTAAAGACATATAAGATCCCCCTGTCTGCCTTGCCATTCTCAGCATGGGTGTCTCATAGCCACAAAATGGATTCTGGGGGTCCAGCCATCCATCTATATTTGAGGAAGGAAGAAGGAGGAACAAATAGCAAAAGAGCACATAAAAATTTTTGCTGATAATATAGCCAATAAACTTCCTTTATTTCTTAATGGCCAGAGTGCTCTGGCAGCTAGGAAATTTTTAATGTTAGGTTTATTACATCATACATTTTGAAAGGGAAGTGGGAGGGGTAAGGGAAAGGAATAAATATGAGAAAAGGAAAAATAGAAACAAAGTCTTTGTGAGTAGGGAGGGGTGGAGGGGTTGAAGGGAGGGCAGGAGAATGGAGAAAAATCAGAACTGAGATATATTATGCAAACGTACATATTTCCAATAATGATTATCAGCGTATTTGCATACCTAAACTATACTAATAAAATTAATTTCTTTAAAAGTTAGGTATGTTATAAAAAGTTGTTTTAATATGAAAAATAGAAAATTGATAGGAAACTAATAGTTTCCTAAGCAAACCTTGACTCTGTAAGTTAAATTAGGGTACTATATCTGAGAACCATCCATAAGTGACCCTCAGTCATTAAGTCCTGGTTTTACCATATATGATCTTTTGAATCACCTCAATTTTATCTCAACTCACTATTCCCAAATCCAGGTTCTCACGAGGTTTCACCTCATGACCTTCTGACTCCAATATCACCTTTTCAAATCCACTTTCCACATGACTGTCCACCATCTGGAAGAAGTCAAGTCTAACAGCATCATCTCTCAGGTAGACTAAATTATTGCTCATGATTCAGCATAACTTCGCCTAAAAGTACTACTCTTTTCAGCAAATTTCCACCCTGGTCGAACCTCCCACTTGAGGAGCAGACTTGATCTCCCCTCCCCAGAGCAGACTTGATCTCCCCATATGGTCCTTGGCCATATGATTTGCTTTCCTCATAGAATGTGGGTGCACCCGATGAGATACTAATAGTAATGGAAACATCTCCTGGTATCCATGTTACTCAAGAATACCTGTAAAATACACCTCCACTGTGAGCCTCTTAGAAGTACTTTGATTTACCCATCTTCACAAACCAAAAATGTAAGAGCTTGCTCTCCTTTAATCACAGTACCTGTTGGGTACTATGGCAGAAACTGCCAGGAAAGGGTTGATAAACCACTAAGATCACTGACAAGAAGAGAGGCCCAGCCAGCCTGGCCCTCGTGA